TAGGGAGACTCCCTCCCGAGGAACAACATCCCAATTCACTTTGTCTTTTCCCCAACCGAGGGACAGTCGGCTGGCAGTGAAAACTCCACGCCACCGCTTGAAAGGAGTGAGATCTGATCCGGCTCTGCAGTCGCAACCTTGACTTCACGCCCAGCTAGCATGGCCTAAAGGTCGGCTGCTGGGGGGAGAGGCCGAGCGCAGGAGAGAGAGAACCACTCACCACCTTTGAGTTTGGGAAAGAAGGATAAGCGGACCCCTGCTTAACGTTGCTTCTTTGTATCTCGCCTTCCTCCGGTGGAGCTCAGTATAGTACGACAACCCTGGGAGGTAGGCCGGCTTGAAAGACCGTCATTTCCCAAGACCAAAGAGCTTCTCGGGCCCTTATCCCCACCCTATCATTCTCCTACCATTTACTTTCTCGGTTCGCACTTCCCCAATAAGTTTATTTACTCAATCTTAAATTCATTGCCTTTAAACACACAAACACAAACTCCCTCCCTCCCTCCCTCTCCCCTTGTTTGCGCAGATCATCACGTTCCAGGGACAAATTTGTTTCCTACGAAGACTCCACTTTTAAAATGCTCCTCTGCAAAGCGATGCCATGTCACCCGTGTGCGTGTGCTTCTTTAAGGTACATTAAAGGATCATTGCAGTCTCCCTGTGAAGTCATTACGCCTTTATCCCCACCAATTAACCACACCTCAGAGGGCTGCTATTAACAGCTACATTGAGCTTAAAAGTGAGGTATCCCATTTCAGAGAGATGTCGTGATCTCGCTCAGGAAATCCCAGCAGGCAGCCAAAAATGGAGCTCTGACTCCTGATCTCTGCCTTAACAGGTCTTTAAAATAAAATAAAAAACACCACTCCACGCAACCCCGATAAGGGGAGAATTAAATATACTAGGGGAAAATCTGAAGGCTAGAAAGTTCAGAGGTAGAAGGTTGGAGCGGGAAGGGTCCTGGGAGAACTTGCGGAACAGCTTGAAATAAAGGAGAAAGAATTTCAGGTGAAATTGCAGATTGGGAGGAGATCGTTTGTCTCAAAAAAAAAAAAGCAACTACAACTGAATTGTAAATTAGCAGCAAGCGCTGATTAAAAGGCAAATAAATGCACGTGCACACGTTTGTGACTCTGAGAACTATCCAATCCTCCTAAATTGGTTTTGTGACATCCGATTTCTTATCTCGCTCTCTTTCTCATCACACAAAACAGGAATGAAACCCCATTGATTTTCGGTGTGGGTGTGACTTCCAGGTGTCACAGGTGGGTTGGTGGGGAGTAACAGAAGACGTGATGGGGGAACTCGGAGAGCTTGAGGAAGAAAGCAGAAACCCTCCTTGCGCTTCTCCAGCAACTCTACCCAGAATTCGTCTTGAAAGAGACGGGGGAAATCTCTTTCTCTTTATCTCTCTCCTAGCTCGCTCACTTACACACACACACACACACCCAAAGGAAAGAGAAAGTGTGGGGAAATGCCCGGAACAGAATGTTGCCGGTCAGCAGCTTGTTTGAAGGCAGAGGGTCTATTCCCTGCCACTTTGCCTCTGTTTCCTCTTTTGAGTAACCTATGAGGTTCCAGTTTAAAAAACTCCCCCCCCCATGCTATTTTCTTTTCTTTAAAATAGTAACAACAACTACCCTCATCTGAGTCTTCTGCTTCTATCCCGGATACTTACCAGCTCTGTGCTATCGCCTTATAATAGCACTCTTATATAAACTAGAAAACCAACTTTCTGCTGTTGGGTGGGTGATGTTGCTTTTTTGGGGAGCTCTGAACACCTTATGTTGCTCTTTTTTGCCCCCTATGCCATTTCCCTTACTCGTGTCCTCGTTCTAAAAAAAACCCAACAACTAACCCATCCAAAGGCAACAGGAGCCCTCACTCATCCCGCCTACCCCCACCCTTAAATGAGGCGGATTTAATTTTCAATATTTGGTACACAAAATTTAGTCAGCCGAAAGGAGATTAATTTTCTAGAATAATCCAATTAAAAGATTTCTAAACTAATCTTTTGGGGTGGGGAAACAGGCTGGGGTGGGGGAAAGGAGGGAAAGTGATTTATGGCCGTGGTTGATTGAGAAGACCGGACGGCTCCTTCTGCGGCTCTCTTAAAACTAAGCGCTCGCATCTGAAGTTGACCAATGTCAGACAACCCTCCCTCCCAAAATTCAATTAACCCAAAGCAGTATGCTTTGAAGATTGATTTGTACCCGTCCTCACTCCAGTGGCACAAACCCGGTATAAATCCCCTACTCCGGCTTGTGGGTCGGGCCGCTTGTTTGCATTGTCTTCCCGGATGGGTTTAATTCAGATGTTGCATTGGGGAAGAGAGTCGCTTATCACTCACACCATTCTTCCCCTCAAATCATAATGTGGAAAAGCAGTTCGTGCTGCTTACAAGCCCCATGGACTTTTTTTCAAGTGCTAATAGATTTATGGTCTCCCTTTTTTTTTTCCCCAACGCCCATCCACAGTAATTAGCACATATGTTCTAAATAGATGATAGTTTTGTGAGCAATAAAGCAATTACCCATCGGTGGAGCTGACAGTTCCTCCAACTAAACTCCAACCAGCAGCTAATTGGAAAAGTCATTTCAGCTCCATTGTCTGCAATTAGTCTTGCTAAACTACTGCACCCCAAACTAGCCGGTTTGAGGTTTATTTATTCATTTGCATTTGCATTTGCAAGCGGTCATCGCACCAGGCTCAAACTTTTCCAGAGCTTAGATCAGCTTTGCAGATTCTCTTCGACTGCCTTGATTTTCTCTCTCTCTCTGCCATTTCTGCCCCTTCCCATCGATACCGAGAGGTTCAGTGGTTCCCAAACATTTGTTCCTTCTGCTGCGGCGGTTTGCAAAAACAATATTTCCCCAGCCACTCGGGAATGGTGATCAGTGTTGCCAAATGGAGGAGGCTTAAATGCTGCTTCTAAGTTTTGTTTGATTTTTTTTTCGCCCTTCTCCTTTTCAATTTTAACTCTGCATTGGGGGATTGCTTAGGGGGTCTTCGCTGTGGCCCCAGAGCACTAAATCAAATAAATCAGATGTTCTGCTTAATACACCGCCGGTCATTTTCTTTGTGACAAATGGGATGATTGGAACCCCAGCTCTCTCTCACACACACACGCATGCATTCAGCCAGGAATTCCGGATCAGTTAGCAACGTTTATGTTTACTTTTGAGTGAAGAAAATGAGGCCGGGGGTAGGTGAGGGAACAGGCGAAAAGCCGACCTCCCCGCTCCTTTCTGCTGAAGATGGGGAGGGGGGAATTAAGAGGGTCTTCCTGATGAAGACTTGTGCACAGTGGGGGGAAGCAAGGCGTTAAAAGTGACGCCTGGACGCGCCAGCGGAGCTTCACACGGAAGATCCGCCAGATTTCTCCGCCACTTAATTTAATCTTCGTGGCACTGGGCCGGGAGATGAGTTGGGGCTTCCCGCCCCCGCCTCTCCGAAGCCCTAGGGTCGAAGTCCAATGGGGAGCTCTTGCTCTGACCTGCAGCCTTTAGGAGGCGTTTAAATGCGAAGGAAATCCAAAGAGCGTGGTGGCCAGCAGGAGGTGGCCTTCAGGGAAGCCCGGTTGGCCCAGGGAGGTAGGAGAGATTCATGGGTGGGAACGGGCAGCCCCTAGCAACCATGCCACCATTCGGAAGTATTTCCAGCTCCCAAGCATCCCTGGACTCTTCAGACAGCAAAGGTGGCTCTTTCTAGTCGGAGGGGCAGCAGCAGTGGTAGAGAGGTATTTCCCGCCCACTCCCTGGCAAAGGGATTTGGAAGCTGCCTCTGAAATGCTCTTGGTTCCTTGCAGCCAAAGCCATTAGGCTATTAATAGGAAGGCCTTGTCTTTTGATGCAAAGGAACAAATAATTCTGTCTAACCAGGTTCTTTTTTCTTTTCTTTTTTGCCAAAAAAGACACATACTCATCTCCCACACAAGGGTTTTGGGGGGGAATAAAAAAAATCGTTTCTGAACAAACAGGGACTTGGCTTTCGTGTCTTGTGGGTTCAACTTTAGCTTAGCATGACAGCTATTGGGAAGGAAGAGATCGCTCTCTCTCCGCCCGCCCCTTATCAGTTTATTTCGGATTCACTGGGTGTCCTCAGCAGCAGTGGACGAAGCAGGGCCTCGTGCGAAGCCTACAAAAGAAGTCCGGGATCTGGAGTGCGGATGGACGCTCTTTTTATTATTATTATTTGCCAGACCAGACCAACAGTTCCGTCCTAGCCTTGAGAAAATTGTTTCGGCTTCCAGGGACTTTGCAAAAATGGGAGAGGCGGGAAGCCTCTTCGAGGTTTGTTCCCTGCTCTGGTTTCCTTTGTATCTGTTTGCCAATGGGGAGTGGTGGTTGGAGGGTACATTTTATTTTATTTATGGAACGAGTCCATCAATGTGGCCGAGGGACTCCTTCCATCCCAACCCTGCTTGCTGCCAGGGTGAAATGCAGGCAAGGGGAGCAGGCAGCGCGGCCCTCTCGCCACCTTCCGCGTCTCCAACCGGGGCGCACGCGGTGGGGATCGCGGCATTCCTCCGCTCGCCGCCGCCTGGCTTGAGGCCTAGGCGCAATCATGCAAGCCAGTCCCCTCCTTCCTAGAGTGAAGGCATTTTCGAGCCTTGCCCCACTTTCTTTCTATGAAGAGCGATTAGATGGCGCCTATTCAAAGCTGCTGATCCAGAGAGAAAAGAGGAGTAGATAAAAGGCGATTTCAAGTGACCTCTTCGTCCTTTTCACACCAACCTGAGTCCCCAGAATAGCCGAGGATCAGCTGGGACAAAAGAGCGTCCCCTCCTTTGCCCTTTCAGCTTCAGAAGCCTCCGTGCAAGGGTGTTAACAATAAAGTAGATTTCTCTTCCCCCACCACACACACACACACCACCCCCACAGCTTTGCCAGCCCCATGTCTTCCAGGATACTTTTTATGAGCCCCCCCCCAATCGCTGCTCTCTCTCTCTCGCGCGCGCGCCCCCCCCCCATGCTCCCCATAGCCTGCTTCAGTGTGGCGCGATTCTTTATGGTCTGCTTGAGCTGTTTCATTGACTTTTTTTTTAAGCCCAACTTAAAAGTCCTCCCGCTCCATCTCCTTAGCTGCCTGAACAGGCCTGTAATAAACACATCTCGGCCCTGACAGTTTAAGGGAAAAGTCAGATTTATTAGTTATATCAAGTTTAGGAGGAGCTCAGGGTGATGCTCACACCAGCAGCCAAGCCTGGATTCCCTCCCCCACCCCCTCGACACCCTCTCGGCGCCTCTAAGCGATAGCTGAACAATCGGTGGGGCAAATCTTTTATTTTCTTACACACAGAGAGAGAGAGTTCTTTTAATTTTTAGCCTGGAAAAGAGAAGTCCAACTGAACTCATCTCCTGATGGGCTAATGCCTATGATAAAAGAAATGGGAGCTGTGACAGGTGACTATTATGGGAAATGATTCTACAAGCCAGGAGATCGTATTCTCAAGACACGGGGAGAAAAACTTCTCTCGCAAGTGTGCCCCCTTTTCATCCCCAGCATAGCCAGATATTAATGTCTACACGCGCGCGCGCGCACCCACACCTACTAGATCTGGGCATCAGCTTGCCTGGGCCTTACGTGATGCGCGCATGACAAGACTGGTCTCCAAGCGAAGGGTAGATCCTCAGAGAAGCCAAAGGGAGACTCTCCAGCGCTGCCATCTACACTCATAGAAAGTCTTCACTCCCCACCCCGCTCCCTTTGTGGCATCCGCACACACCTATGTCGCTTCGCTTCCCGCATTAAGATCCCCGCAGCTTTATTTGTGCGGAAAGTCAATATCTGGTTGTGAGAATTCGCCATTTTGCGCAGGGAACGGGGTGGGGAGCGCATGGGAGAAGACAGCTCTGACGCAGGAAGGCTGCAGAGCTTGCTGACCGCCAGTTTCCTGTGTCCTGCTAGGATCTTCCGGATCCATCTCGGCCGTGAAACAAGGCACACTATAAAAGCTGGCCAATATGGGTCCTTCTGTTGGCTGGGAGATTCCTGCGCCCCTCGAGGCCACTCGACTACCGCGCCTGGTTTAAGAGGCCCAAAGGACCCTTTTCTGGAAATATTCTCCAGGGAACATTAGAGGGATTTACTCCTGAGTAAGGGCTGTACTGTAAACCTGCAATCCTGCCCCCCCCCCTTTCTTGGGAACAAGTCCCCTACTCAGCTCCGTGGGACTTCGTTCCAAAGAAACAGCTGGTGTGGGATCGCGCTGCCCCTGACCTCTGCACAGTTTTCAACTTGTTTGGGTTTCCTGGCTGATGTGTCGGCAACTCCAAGATTTCAGTGGCCAGCTGCCGCCGTCTGGTTGAGAGGAGACCGCCGCGCTCTGAAAGCACCTGGTAACTCAGCGCGACATTTCGCTAGGTGCCAAATGGCCAAGTCGAGCCCAGAATACGGCCTGATGGCTCCTAGTGAGGCCCGCGGGCGGGGGTGGGCGGGAGGCCTTTGGGGAAGGTATTTTGCTCCCTTGCCTTGCTTCGCTTACAACTCCACAACAAAAGCATAAAGCCAGACTCTCGGCAGCCTATTTTACAGCTTTCATTTTAGCCTTCGACCACTGGCGGGTGCCTAACCGGGAACCTTTGCCCAGGTTAGAGCCCCTGTTTCCTCCAGACGCTGTCCTCCCTTGCCCCAGCTGCCTTTATAGTGAACACGCAGCGTTTTCTCTTTTGTAAGAAAGCCTAGAAGGAATGGTATCCACATATTTTCTTGGAAGTAAGTTTCACGGAATTCAGTAGAATTTACTTTCAAGCCCCAGTGGGTTGTGCAGACATGGGATTCCAAGAACGGACTGCTTTAAAAAGTAGGTCTGATTAAGATGTTGGAAGTAAGTTAACTAGAACTTATATCACATGTGCACAACACAAGCCAGCTTCATTTACATTTATGTAATTTTAATATTTTGCTGGAAGCCGCCCAGAGTGGTTGGGAAAACCCTTCCAGATGGGCAGGGTATAAATAATAAATTAGGATTGTACATTATTATTATTATTATGGAGGATTTGCTGGAATATCTCGTGCGCGTGTGCGCGTGTTTGTTTGTTTCCAAACAGGCTTTAAAATGGGAATCATCTCGCACTTGGTCCCCTGAAGTGAGTAAGGACATAAAGGAAAGCGAGTACGGATCAATTGAGAACTCTCAGGGATCCATCCAGGCACTGGTGAAATCCTCGCTCCCTCCCATGCACACGAATCTGAGCATCCGTGTGAGTGCATCAGGCTTTGTCTAGAGAGAAGGGCCCCCCGAAATATTAGGTGGCCAGTGGCTATTTATTTACAAACGGGCGCTGTAATCCACTGGGTCTGCTTTGGCTGGGATTCTGGGAATGGCCAATTGTGTATAAGATTGGGATGGTGGGGGGGGGGTTGAAATCTGCAGATTTGTGCAGATAACAAACGAGGGTCGAGTAAGGGGCAGGCGCGCCTCCTTTTCCCACCCGGGCAGGAGTTCCATTGCGCTGGAAGCCTGTGACCCGGCACTAGTGCAGACGGTGAATGCGGCCTACTTCCGCTAGTCGTGGCAGCGGCGTTGCTGGGCAGGCTTCCCTGCCAAGGCCTGGCTCGCTGACAGCCTTGCCCTGCTGGACACCCAGCCCTCGCCAACGGAAGGCAGAGGGAGGAACCAGCAAGGCCGCCGCCACTACGCACTTTGCTTGAGGAGGGGGCTTTTGGGGGGAGGTGGAGGGAAAGAGGTGGGTCAGCAATGTTTACACTGCAATTAATATTTGACGAGGACTGGAAATAGTCCTCGAGGGGAGGGACGCCCTTCGACAGGCTGGCTTCTCTGATGGATCAGGCATCCAAAAGCTGGAAGGCAGAGCTTGTCAAGAGTTCGTCGAAAGCGCGAGCTCGCTGATTTGTGGGGCAAGCGGCCCAGCATGCTGGTAGCGTGTGAAAGTGAGAGAACAGCATTCAAAGCACGCCTTCCGTATGGCTTTCTGGGTCTGTTTTAAGTTGATCTATGTAGAACGGGGATGGCATATGTGTGCTTTAAAAAGCACTTCCCAAATGTCATGTCCTAACGAAATGCAGCTGGATCTCTTACCAGAACGGGGAGTGAGTTGCTCAAAGTTGCTAAAAGAATGTAACAGATTTTTTTTCCTCTCCACTTGGGAGAGAGAGTGAAGATCCCTCCTGTGCTATTTTCCCCTATAAGGATTCTCGAATACACAGCCATGCACAAACACACAGTCAATATATATTATACAGTACTGTATTGAAAAACCACACATACGCCATACACTTGATTTTTGCAAATGAATCGGGCCTTTGAATTTTAAAAAAGCAAAGGTTACAGCAAGCGGATAAATATTTCTGGGTACAGATCATTTCCATCCCCCAGCTAGGCTTTGCTATTACCTTCTCTTCAGCCCATATTTGGTTTGGGTGTTTTACGGAGGGAGGAGGTTTCGTTTTTTAAATGCCCCCCCTCCTGATTCCAGGAAAAGTTCTGACAGGCACAACGTTTTCCTCTGGTCCAGAGAAGATGGGTGTCTCCGAAAACAACCCCAGAGAGGACAGCATTTCTTTTCTGAACCCACAAAGTGACTGCAAGTCCCACCATTTCAAACGAACAGAGGTTACTTCTATGTAAGTGTGCTGTGGGTCGTGGTCTTAGGCTCAGCCTGTCTGCATCTCTGTTCTCCCATAAAATGACCTTATCAGATTACAAAGCCTTGGCTGAAACATCGAAAGAGGAATCCTGGTTGGCCCCACGCAGGAAAAAACAAAACCCCTTAAGCGGAGCCCGTGCATTACTTCCAGAATATTACAACCTCGTTGAACATAACTGATCTGCTTATTCTACCACCATCCCAATTCGCACGCCTATTGAACACCAGGGATGCGCCTTATTTTAAATTCTTCACACACACCCTCGCTGGTTTGCATCTGAAAATGCCATCCGGCTGTCCTGATATTTGAGGTTCAACCGGTTTAGCAACTCCCCTCTGCTTAACCAATTTGCCCATTGCGGCCCAAGAAGGGATTCTAAACACAGATAAGAGACGCGGGAAACCTATGCGATTTCCATGTAAATATGGTTAGGGCAACGTTGGGGTTGGCAGTCTTGAGGAAGTTAGAGCTCGCTTCTATTTTTCGGGGCATACTTTAGGCACCGCAAGAAGCTGGCGGGGAAAGCCGGCTTTTCCCAATTAATTACGTTGTGACCACATTACTTTTCTTTATTTCCTTTTTGCTCTCGGAGAGAGAGGAAAGTGAGCGTTTGAGAGGGAGGGAGAAATTGACAAAGGATTTCTATATTTGAGCCAGCTTCTTTTGGAGAGGTTAAGGATCCCCGCATGCAATGAAGGATCCATTCATTTCTCACGGCCTGATTTCTTATCCATTTCCCATTCAAAGACCCAGCCAGATCCCTAAAAGATGAGATTTCCTGAAAGACTCATAAAATTGGCTAGGCTTCGCTCTATTTTCGCTGAATAAATGCAGAGATTGAGTGGGTTCTGTTTTATACCTATTCTAAGAGAAATGTGATATCCTTAGGGACAGCAAAGGCAATCTTGGAGTGGGGAAGACAGAACGTAATCGGAATTAAAGGTGGGTTTTGTAATTATTTTTAATGGGCCTTTCCTTGTCATAAAAGTCTTTCTGTCTCCCCCTCTCTCTCGTTCGGTGGATCTCCCTGTTGTCCCTTTAATCTGTTGACACTCCCCACCACCACCCTAGATAAACAGGCTGCCATCGATCTTTTCATTAGGTGATCAAATAACAAACAGAGCAGGTGAAAGACAACAGCATTAGCACGCTGACACTCGTCTGCAATCCCTCTTTAGGGGATGAAAAGTCCTGGCATAAACACTCAGCCCCACTGAATGGATCTGTTCACCTCTTCCTTAAGCCTACCTAGGCAATAGGAGGACTATGGGATTCAGCTCTGGATCTGGACAAGTCGATCCCTGCTCATTCCCATCTGAGGTTGTTCCCGGAGGCAGCTGGTCCCATGATCTTAAGGATTGGGGATGGGGGGGTTCCACAACATTGTTCAAACAAAAATTATTATTTTTTGCTACTTCTGCTTCCTAACTTCTTACATCTCTGTCTATCCCTCTTCTCCGCCCCCCCCCCGCCCCCATCCCTGCCGCCTCTCCTTCAGATGAAATCTGGCGGGGAAATCCCAACCAGGCCTGAACTGAGTGCCTTTTCAGGGTCTCCGACAAAGCAGGCGAGATGGTGGAGGAAAGCGGAGAAGGAGCGTAGGTGGGGTGTGTGTTTTTTTTATATTAAAAAAGTTACATTGCCCAAGTGGAACTCTATCAGAAGAGCGTGGGGTGGGGATGAGAGATCCCAACTCCCTGCTGCCGGATGCTACTTCACGGCGTCTAAAAACCCACCAGAAACACACGTTACAGAAAGCAAAAGCTACTTGCCTTGGCCAGCGGAGGTTCTGCTAGTTGCTGGTGGAAGCGATCCGGACTCCGACGAAACCTTGTCAAGAAGCTGGTGCTTCTCTGTGCACCTTCTCCCGGGCTTTCTTTCTCTCTCCCCTTCTCCCTCCCTCTTCTCTCTCTCTCTTTTGCTCTGCCTCTTTTTTCCCCCTCTCTCCCTCCCTGTCTCTCCATAGTCCGGAGAGTAAAACCTTAGATGATATACATACAGAGCCCGGGTGTGTGTGTGTGTGTGATTTAATCTTATTCGTTTCACCTTTTCAGTGACCACCAGAAGACAGGACCGAGAGTTTATTGGGAAAGAAAAGAGAGGCGAGGAGGCAGGCGAGAGAGAGCCCACTGTTGCATAGTCAATAACATCCTTTTTATCAATGCAATCTACAATAGGGACGGCTTGGCAGGAAAAACTGATGCGGAGGGTGGGGGGGAGGGAGGGAGAAAACCACCCTTCATTATTTCACCACCAAATCGCAAACCGTGTCTTCGGGTGCGGGACTCGCCTCTCTAACTGGTGCCTAATATTTTTACAACCTGAGAAGGGACGCACACATCTCTCTCTTTCTCGCCCTAGGCTCTAGTGCGCTGCGCTGTTTTGGAATAGCCCCCGCCCGCCCGCCAACCCCGGCTTTCTGCTGGTGTAGAAACTTTGATGGAAGTTGAGAAAACAATGAAAATAAGGAGAAGTCAGGAGGGGCAGAAGATCGAGAAGCTAATGGAGAAATATTCCAATAGGAAGGATTACTCCCCATAGAAACATGCAGGCAGGGAACAAATATTAAGGGAAAGAGCCATTCAGATATTCTCGTGTCCCTTTCTGCTCCTTCATCGGAGGCGCAAGCTTTTTATTTATTTTTTAACTACACAAGGAAGGGGGGAGCTAAACAAACTGCAGTTTCACCGCTTTCTTCCTGTCCGCTAGATGGCAGCACGAACCAGCGATTCTTCTAGGACTGGCGAAGGGGAATTTGTGTCGTCGTCGCGCCCCCCCCCCACTACCCGGTTCCCAGAATACACTTCTCCAAACTCACATTCTCTCTCTCTCTCTCTCTCTCTCTCTCTCTCTCTCTCTCACTCACTCACTTGAACTTTCCTTTACAGGCATTGATCCTTTCATAAAGACGGCAAAACCGATCACTTACTTACGTTATCCATTAATCATTACAGAGGCTGTTTAAAAACATTCGCGAAAGCAAAACACAAGGAGGACGGAGAAGTTAATTTAATATATGTATCTATATATTAATAGTAAACAATAAATAAAAATAATGGGAGTTGGAGTGGAACCTCCATGTGAAATGGGGTTGTCGATTTCTGTCCGGTCATATTGCGACGGGAATGAAATCTATTCTAAAAAAAATTACTAAATCCTGGAGAATATTTAAAGTGAGGGGGAACAGGCAGCGAGGTGGGAGGGGGAGAGAGGGGGCTGCTGATGAACTGGAACATATGGGACCATAAATGTATTTTTTAAATACTCACAGTCCTTATGGACTCTCCTTAGCCATCTCCTTGCAGCCATTAAACAATGGAATCCAGTCCAAGTATCGTAATTCCTAATCAGGGTTATTTTTGGAAGGAAGGAAGACCGGGGGGGGCGAAATATCCCAAAGAGAAAGCTGATCATTAAAAAAAAACTTTTCAGAATGAGCCAAAATAATTTCCTTTAAATTCCCCCTTCCCCCTATCGCAATGCATCTCTTCCCCGCCCGCCCCCCCTTTCTTTTGTCGTGCGTGTGCGTCTGTGTGTGTGACCATAGACGACCCATACTAATCAGGTCTCAAAGTAAATAGCAGAGCAGGGCGATCTCAATGTAAATTGTGCTTGTCAGAAGAATCCCCCTCCCTTTCTCTCTCTCTCTCTCTCTCTCTCTCTCTCTCTCTCTCTCTCTCTCTCAAGCCCCCTCCCTTCCCTCTCCTTTCCTCCCCCCTCCCTCCTTCCCATCTCAGTCAGTAGGTAGCAAAGAATAAAGGCGGAGGGGGGGGAGCGAGAGAGAGAGAGAGAGAGAGGAGATCTCAGCCAATGGAGTGAAGGAGGCTTGGCTAACCTTAGCCTCCCATTTTCTCTCCCCCCAATTCAGGGCTCTGACCAGTCAGTCGCCTTTGATTATCAGTTGCCAGCAGCCCCTCTCTTGGCTCCTTGACATGAGCTCCATATAAGGCAGCGATCTCCATAGAAACGTGTCAGTTTCAATAGTAGTGTCAAAGTTCACTATATACAGACATTCGCGCAGATCCCCCTTTCGGAAACATTGCTCTGCTAGTCTTCCCGTTTAAACGCATTCATTTTTTGGTTCTCTCTCTCTCTCTCTCTCTCCCTCTCCTCTCTCTCTCTCCTCTCTCTCTCTCTCTCTCCTTTCTTGCATATTCTATTAGTTGAAGGCTGGTTTTTTTTCCTCTTTATCTCCTTCTCTCTCCACTCCTTTTCTCCTTTTCCTGGTGCCTCTCGCTTCCTTCCTTCATGAGACCAGAGAGAGGGAAAACTTAAAAGAAAGGGGAAAGACCGCAAAAGAAAAAGAGCAAAAAGGAAGAAAGGAAGAAAAAAGAAAGAAGAGGGGCGCCTTTTGAACATCTTCATATCTTCAATTTTTAAACACTTTTTATTGTTATTTTGGGGGAGGGTTTTGTTCTTGGCTGCGGAGGTTTGTTTTCTTTTTCTTTTTCTCCTCCGAAATTTACTTTAAAAAGAAAAGAAAAGAAGAAGAAGAAAAATAAGAAGGTGTTGTTTTTTTCCCTCCTCCTTTCCTTCCCCTTCCTCTTGGGCGATCTCCAGTGATTATTGTCAGCAGCACGGAAGAAGAAAGAAGGCGAGGAGAGAAGGAGCTGCCGCGCGAGCGAGCGAGCGAGGAAGGCGCCAGGAGGAGAGCAAGCCGGAGAAGCAGGAGAAGGGGCTTTTATTTATTCGACCTACTTTGGATCTCTCGCTCGCCTTTCGGCTTTTCCCCTCCCCTCGGCGCGCGGCTGACATTCGCTCCGCTTCTGCTCTCTCCATGTTCGCCTTTCGCTCCGCCACTTGGCTGGGGATCCTCGGTCTGCCGCGCCTGGGCGAAGTCGAGGGCGCTGCTGGGGCTTCTCCTTTGTATCTTCCCCAGCGAAATTGACGAGGGAGAGAGGCAGAGAGAAAGAGAGAAAGCGGCGCGCACGGAGAAAGAGAGACACAGCTAAAGAGAGAGAGAGAGCCCGGCGGCAAAGCAGCGGCGGCGGCCGGAGCCGGAGCCCAGAACAACGGCGGCGTCGGCGGCGAGAGACCCCCAAAGTGTCTCGTCCAGTCTCCTCTCGCGTCCTCCTCGGCGGCGTCGCCCTCGGGCTGGTCGGCGGAGCTTCCCGAAGCGCCTTTGCTGCATGGCTGACGCGCTGCCTCGGACTTGGCCCCCGGACACCCGCGCGCCCTGAGCGGCAGCCGCGCCTCGGCTCCCCGTGCGCCTTTGCCGGCTTCCCTGCGCGCCAACGGGCGCGATCCAGCGGCGGCTCTCCCGGCCGGGCCCCAGCGGCTTCGGCGGCGAGCAGTGGCGGCGACGGAGGCGGCCGCAGCCCCGGCAGAGAGACCAGCTTCTTCACCAGCAGCAGCGGCGGCGGCAGGAGCAGCTTCGGCGGCGGCGGCAGCAGCAGCAGCAGCAGCATCGCGCGGCTCCGGGCTCCTTCCTTGCTGCTGCTGCCTCTTTCGTGTCGGCCGGCCGGGCGGGCGCGCCGCTAGCCCGCCGCGGACGGTGCGGGGCTGGCTGGCCCGGCAGGGTGTCCGGCGAGCCGGTCGCCTCCTCTTCCTCCCTTTCCTCCTCCTCCTCCTCCTGCTTCTTCCCCCCGTCGCCCTCTCCTCCCTCTCCTCCCCAGGGTCACCCTCCTGAATGCCTCTCCCGACAGCCCGCTTCGCCCTGGCTGCTTTTGCAACTTGAAAAGGGACACGTTTCTGGGGGGGAGGGAGGGAAGGGACTGAGAGAAGAAGCAGGAGGAGGAGGAGGAAGAGAAGAAGAAGAGCGGGGGACACCATCCTGCTAGACGGGGGGGTGGGGGTTAAACCCTCTGGAATTCCATTGTCTCCCCCCTTGCCAAAAGAAAAGAAAAGAAAAAGAAGCCACTCCACATTAGAGAGAGGGAAAGAGAGAGAGAGAGAGGAAGGGAAGAAGGAAGGAAGGAAGGAGGGAAGGAAGGAAGGAGGGGGCAGGGCAGCAGAAAGAAGCAGAAAAAGATCGGCAGCGGGAGCAGCGGAGAGGCGGCGGCGGCAGCCACAGCAGCAACAGCCGCGGAGAGGCGGGAGGAGCCCCGATCCCTCGCCTCTGCCCCCCCCCCCGCGACAAACCCAGGCAGCCGCCCTTCTTTTCCCCCTTACCCTACCCCACCCCCCTTCCCCACCCCGACCCCGACCCGCCACCCCTCCTCCTCTCCCGGCCTCTTCTCCGGCAGCCCACCATCACCACCAGGCACCCCCCCCTCTTTTTTTCCTCCGTGGGCCCGAGATATGGCAATGGTAGTTAGCAGCTGGCGAGATGCGCAAGAGGACGTGGCCGGGGGCGGCCCCACCGGAGCAGCTCAGCCGGGCCGGGACCCGCAGCAAGGGGCCTCGGCGGCCCCCCACACGCCGCAGACGCCCAGCCAGCCGGGCGCGCCGTCCACGCCGGGCGACAAGGGGCAGCAGCAGCAGGGATCGGGCCAGAGCCAGCAGCAGCAGCAGCACATCGAGTGCGTGGTTTGCGGCGACAAGTCCAGCGGCAAGCACTATGGGCAGTTCACCTGCGAGGGCTGCAAAAGTTTCTTCAAGCGAAGCGTCCGCAGGAACTTAACGTACACTTGCCGGGCCAACCGGAACTGTCCCATCGACCAGCACCACCGCAACCAGTGCCAGTACTGCCGCCTCAAGAAGTGCCTCAAAGTGGGCATGAGGCGGGAAGGTGAATATTATTTCTTCCCTATTCGGATCCGGATTGTTTGTGTGTGTGTCCAGGGCAGGTTGGGAGGAGGAGGAGGAGGGAGAGAAGGCTGGTACCCCCTCCCTCTCCTCCGAGCATCCCCCTCCTCACCAGACAAACAGACACACTTTCGCAACCACTACACTTGCTTCCTTTAGAGATGCGTAATGTTGCTATTACTCTTACTCCACCACCGATTGAATGGTGTCTATTCCTGGGTTGGGGGCTCTGTCCTTTCTTGGCTTGGAGCTGGGGGGGGCAGCCAGAGAGAGGGGGAGAGAGACCCTTCTTTCAGGCTCCCTTTCCTCTCTTCATTATTTCGCCCCATTAGAAAGATGGGGGGAGCGAGGAAAGAGAAAGCACAACAGTTCACGTTAGATCCTTCCCCCACCACAACCCTGGCCTCAAAGCTGAAAGAGACGTGTGTTGTGTGTAAGTTTGTTTGTTTGTTTTAAAATCATAATAATATATATTTTTTAAAACAAATTGGAGGGCCAATGGTGTTTAAATTGCTCTGTTTGTGTGGCTGCTTCCTTGCACCTTCGCTCTCTGCTAGGCGATCCCACCTCGCCAAATCCGGCCTTGTTTGGACTCCCTCGTGCTTTCAAATGAAGTTTGTGAACGATCACTGCTTTTACAGTTCTGTCATTTCCCACTCCGTGTGCATGCTGCTTCTTTTATTTCTCCATCAGACGCCATCGTCGCTTTATACTGCATCCCAATAATACTGGTTCTTATTAGTCTTATTATTTTTAAGCATAGCTTGCCTTTGGAATGTGGTGCTTATTTGAAAAGAAATACCTCCAGTGTTATGATGGTACTTTCTGTGTGTTTGTGTGTGTGTGTTAATTCCGAGAGAGAGAGATCTATATTTATATGAATGAAAGGAATAGTTATTATATGTATTTGTATGTGTGGGGGGAGTGTACGTGTGTGCTTGTGTATATATAGTAAGAGCGATTTACTGCGGCGGTGTTTTTGGTCTCCACACACATACTTGTATAGATATATACACACACACTATTTAGCTGTTTGATGCTGAAAATTCAGCCTCGTGACCCTATTTAAAGAGGTCCTTAGGAGTCAAATGAGCCAAACACTTTCGGTAATGGAAATGGTTGAAAATAATAGAAAAAATAAAAAATAAAGCACATCTCTCCCGTGTGCCTCAAGGAAAGAATGGAAATCCTTTTAAAAGGGCCACTGATGACTTCATTTAGGAGTTTCGGAGAGCTGTTGTCAGGATAGGGGTCTCGGGGAAAATTTATATATCGAGAGCGAGGGGGAGCATAGGGATATATATGTATAGCAGCTAACAGCCCTCTCACAGCCTTTGAACTGTGTTTGCATTTAATTGAAACACAGAACTGCCAGGTTTGGAAGTATAATTTGCAGAGGGAGGAGGGAGGAAAGGGGGATTCTGACAGCTCGATGGGAATATTAGATCCCCCCCCATCAAAAGTATGATTAACAACAGGAAACCCTGAAGAAAATAACTCTTCCTGTGAAACAGAAAATATTAATTTTCTGCGCCTAAGAAATAACTCTCAGTAGTCCTCTCTTTGCTCTAAGTTACCTTTGTTTACATGCCAGGAGTGTGAATTGCTGACCCAGATTAAGCAGACCTGGACACACACACACACACACACACACACACACAAACTTTGCTCAGCTTCGGAAACTCCAAGCATGCTCGGTTTGGGGTTAATGAATTCCGTGAGTTTGTGTGCCCGGCGCGTCTCTTTTTGCACAGTTGCAAACGTGTGTTTTCACTGGCCAGATCGTGGGCATATATTTCCCACCCTCCTTTAATTTTCATTTTCATGCATCTGCAACCACGCAGAGAATAATTCGCCCTTCTCCCCACACTCATGTTTGGCTTCCGTAATCGAAATCTTCATTTTGACCTCCTTTTTAATAACAATAACAGCAGTCAAACCTTTCCTTTCCCTCCCCCCGGTCCTCCTCCAGCCAGGGAGAAAGAACTCTGCTGCAAACAGGAGAGAAGCTTCCTCAGCTGAACCTGGGAACTATTTAGGGAGAGGGCGCGGGGGTAGCTCTCCCACCCCTCACCTCACCTCACCCCACCCCACCCCCCACTCCAAGCACTTTTGCAAGCCTATTTGCTGAGTGGGACTCCGGACTGGCAAATAAAGCGGGGAGCCTGCGCGGGATGGCCTTTCCGGATTCCCAATCCTCGGAGCGCTAAATCGGCCGAGAGGTGACCAAGGATGGCTACCTGGCTATCAGGCAAGGCTAGGAGGGAGCAACTTGGAGGTGGGCCCTGACTTTGGAGAGTTCTTTCGGGGACTGCCTCGTCGTCATCATCATCATCATCATCATCATCACTATTTTCATCATTCCTCTTATTATTACTATTACTACAAAGAGAATGGCAGTCTTGTAAGGCAGTATACATGTCCCCATTTGCACAACAATGCAAGCTGAGGTGGGTGGGGGGAACAGGCTTGCATTGTGCGTGTTTGCCACCCTCCCGGCCGGATTTGTGCGTGTCTGTGTGAGAGAAAGAGGCGACGCCTGTGTGTGTGTCTGTGCGCCTGTGTACGCGCTGTGTGCGCGCGTTGCTGTGGGAAGAAGGCTCCGCTTTGTTGCGCGGCGGCGGCGACGGCTAGCGGGCTGGGTTTCGCCAAGGCTGCTGGATGCACATTTCCTCTCCTTTTCTCTCTCTCTCCCTCTTTTCGTCAGCGGTTCAGCGAGGAAGGATGCCTCCGAGCCAGCCGAACCCGGGCCAGTACGCGCTGACCAACGGCGACCCGCTGAACGGCCACTGCTACCTGTCGGGCTACATCTCGCTGCTGCTGCGCGCCGAGCCTTACCCGACGTCCCGCTACGGCAGCCAGTGCATGCAGCCCAACAACATCATGGGCATCGAGAACATCTGCGAGCTGGCGGCGCGGCTGCTCTTCAGCGCCGTCGAGTGGGCCCGCAACATCCCCTTCTTCCCGGACCTGCAGATCACCGACCAGGTGGCCCTGCTGCGCCTCACCTGGAGCGAGCTCTTCGTCCTCAACGCGGCCCAGTGCTCCATGCCCCTGCACGTGGCGCCCCTCTTGGCCGCCGCAGGCCTCCACGCCTCGCCCATGTCCGCAGACCGCGTGGTGGCCTTCATGGACCACATCCGCATCTTCCAGGAGCAAGTGGAGAAGCTCAAGGCCCTGCACGTCGACTCGGCCGAGTACAGCTGCCTCAAAGCCATCGTCCTCTTCACGTCAGGTCAGTGGAGTGGCGGGAGGGAACGGGGGGGTGTTAGGGGGGTGAGCAGCAACACCAGGGGAGCATGGCTAGGCAAGCCCAGGCACCTTCCTCTCCAAACAGATCGGCCTCCTGGTTTGGGGACAGTCCCCCGGGATAGTCTGGAGCAAGGAAAGGCGCGCAGGGCCTGCTGAGGCCAAACCTGCCAGCCTGCTGCAGAAGGTTTGTGCAGTAGACGCACCAGAGCCTCATCCAAATTCACTTTGCGTTGGGAAAACGAATCCCTGCCCTCCCCGCAGCCCGGCTGCAGCTTCCTCCTGCGCTCTCAGTCTTCTTAAGCATTCGTTGGATTGTTCCCCTTAGGCAGGCGGGTGGCTTTGGCAGCTTCCGGTAGGCCTTGGGTGAAATCGACTAACTCGAAGGTGTAGCGTTGTGTTCATTGTAGAAGGTAGTATTCGGCCTCAGGTGGGGGAGAGGGGGGTGCGGTAGGAGCATAAATTCCCCACACCCTTTCCTCGTGCGTTTGTGTGTTTATTTGTTTGTGGAAGGGAGGAGAGAGTGGTTAGGCCTCGCTGAAAGGGCTTCTCGCCAGATCTTGTTCCAATAAGGCAGGCAGGAGCACAAATAAATCATAAATAATACTGCTTTATTGCTGCCTGATCCCCCCACCCCCACCCTTATCGGAAGCCATTCATATTTGCAGTTGCTGTGGTTAGTGACGCTCGTAAAAATGGATTCGAGCGCCAGAAAAGGACTTACTTCCCTCCTTCAAAATAAAGGAAATAAGACCCAGCCTGAGGCTTTAGAGTACCAACCTGCAGATGCATTTCCTCCCTCCCTTCTTCTTTTTTTTAAACAATGCAAAACCACGCAAACACTGGGAAATGTAACAGATTGCCTGCAAAAATATCAAATTAAGGGTAGGCGGGGGTAACGTGCATGTTAGCAATTTTGCTTATGATAGATGGTTCAAATTAACTTTGCAGGAGAGTGCATTAACGTCGCCTTTGAAGTGCTCCGGTTGGAGCCTATAAGAATACAAGACATCCTTTATTATTGTAACCTGTGGGAGAGACATATATAACATCAACCTGCAAGGAATAAGGAACAAAGACAAGGGGGAACTTGGCGGAGCCGTTTGGGACGGGGGGGGGCGTTGTGTTTGCGAGGGTGGAGGGGTGCGGCGCTGGTCTGTTCACAGAGCACTTTTTGCAAAACTTTTCTCATGTGTATATATATATATATGCATATATATATATATATATATATATATATATATATATATATATATATATATATATCCTTCAGAATCTTATACCATTAAATCCGCCACCCACCCCTAACCCCGTTTAAAAGTGGCCCGAGAAGATATACAAAGCTTTTTGGAAAACAAAGCTGTTTCCGAGGGTCTGGCTGGAGGGGAGAAACCCATCAATATTTGTTGCCTTTCATGCATGAGAAATAGTATTTACATTGTAGTCAAATGACTCTTAAATTTGCACAATATTGTAATGTAGCAAATGTAGTATTAATATCGATTTGAACATCGGATAATTTATTTAGACAGGGGGATCTCATTGGTATGCGTGGTGCTGGTAGACATGGACTGTGACTGCCCCCCTTGTTCTTCAGGCTGCAAATGCAGGCCAGAGCGAGGGTGGGAAAAGGCCGGGCTCTTTTTTCGCAGAGAATCAAGTACAGGTCTTAAAACAAGTGGGGGAGATTTACTGAACAGCCGCAGAGACGTTGGGGTGCGTTTTATCTTCAGGAGCCTTGCCTGACGGAAACGTGTTTTTCAGAACTGACAAAAAGAGACCCTGGTGGCATTTTTCAGGGTGATTTAACTGGAGGGTCCTCCCGCAGCCCCTCGTGCTTTTTTGTTAACTCGTTTATTCATTGGGGGGGGGCGGTTAGATCTAAACTGGGCGGGAATAGCCCGGCCATTTGGAAAATGCAGCTTTTAGGCCGCAGCGTTAAAGAAAGAGGGCGGCCTGCTTTATTGACTTCACCGCCAAAAGCCCTTGCCTAAAAGGTTTGACCCCCCTCCGCCCCCTCGAAAGGCGCTTTCTTCCTCTTTTCTCAAATCCAGGATGGCTTAGAATACTGCTAGCTGCATCTGCTATATTTATGTGTGTCCATATATTTTGATGGTACACAATGCAACATTATTTTTTTAATCGAGGCAGTGCAAATTGGCGACATCCCAATATAAGCTGAAATAATAATAGCATTTTCTAGCACTCGGATGGGGTGGAAGCCCCAATGGCGGAGACGCAGAATTCCCACTCTAGTTATGTCCTGTCTTTCTCTTCCTCCTCCTCCTCCTCTCTCAAACGCCGCCACTTCTACCCCCTACACCCATTTCCACTTGGGCCTGATCTTGTTTTGATTGCTAGCCAGAAGCTAATTGATGGCCCGGCTTTCGCCAAGTCCTCCAACTTTTTAAGGAAACTTTGATGGATGGAAAAGACATTTTTAGCCACCTGGTCCCAGGGGCTTTAACTCAACAACCTGATCCCAAACGTAAAATGCTTCCAGATCACTGGTGTTTAAGATCAGCAGGGGTCACTGGCTTGGAAGTTATTCTAGTTTCTTGCTTGCCTCTTCTTCTTCTTCTTCTTCCTTCACCACCTCCTGCCCATTTGGGTTCCGGATATTATTTTCCACCCACAAAAGTTTGGAGCCTGTCCCAGGAAGGAGCATTGTGTTGAAAGTAGCGCTGGTTGATTTGTTGTTTTCCCACACAGAGAGACATGCAAACTCCATTAAAGAATTGCCTTTCTAATTCTGACACCACCCCGCACTTCGATATATAAAATCTCCCACGGAGGGGCCAGGTTAGATAAGATCAGCTCAATAAATCTATCTCCTGCGCCATAAGAACTTTGATTTCTCGTTATATGCGAGCTGATTACGTCTATATTTTCTGAGCACTAAACTCTCCTGGATGCGTTACATGAAATACATTCCCTGTACTACAAAGGCCCAGGTTGGCGTGTGCTGAACAGTAATGATTATTTATTTACATCATTTCTTCGCCATAGACTGGAGGAAGAAATATTGAGAAATAATGACTGCAGGAAGAAATATGATCATCTTAAAAAGTGGGACACGCACAATTTCCACCCAAACCCACCCTTCTCCCGTCCCAGCCCGCCCCCTTCATCCTTGCTGAGATGTAATTCACAGAAGGTGAATATGCATCGCTTTCCCTTCTTTGGTCTATTTCATCTTAACTCAATCAGCTAATCGATCAGATAGCATAGATTGTTTAATTAATTTTCAGATCCTCTTGCTTCGCGGTGGAGATTGAAAGCATCCCCCGATCCTAACGCTATTTGTTTGAAATGTAGAGGGGGGGAGATGAGTCCCTCTGAGCTGGCTGGTGTTTCGAGTAAGGGGGTGCGGAATAAAATCCAAGCGTGCCTCTCATATATACCTGAGGGGACCTTTCTTTCTTTTTTTATAATAAAAAATGAGAGAGAGGCTGAAGAAGCTATCTGATAGAAGATGCACTGGAAATACGACAGGAGAATCTCCGTTCTATCTGGTCTGTGCCTTTCTCAAAGATCCGGTGGTGGTCTTTGCGCCGGAGGTGAAAGACGGGATAAATATTTCACCCCCTCCCTAAGGAATGGGACCTCCCAGATAAATGTGAGGAAGAGGCAATCAGGCCCTGAAGTCCTGCCGTGTTTAAAAGTTGGGTAGAAACCTTTCGCCTGAGTGGACGAGTAGCAATACAAGGCAAATAGCAAAGGAGAAGTTAGCTGGTGATCTCTAGCAATCCCCGTCCGAGGAGGCCAGGGACTCTCTCGGCTATGGACCACGAAGAAGGGCAGGCCTCCGCTGTTGGGTGCGTGTGGGTTGCAAGCTGGCTCCCTCCTCGCCCACCCGTTAGATGTTGCAAATGATCACTGCATTTAAGGCAAAAGTAGAAATTAGCACAACAGTCAGGCGTAGGTAATTGCAGATCTAAGCGCTCCTTAGGCCGTGGCTGGGGTCATGGGGGTCTTTTCCTCAGAAGAGCCAGAATTACAGCTTGGTTGCTCTCTGTTTTCGCTGGAGGCCAGAGGCCTGGAGATGAAGGTGTTTGACATGCTTTTTTTAAAAGCCACTTTTGGAAACTAGGGAGAGGGATACACCACCCCGCAAGTTCAACAACAACAACAACAGCAACGAAATCCACTTGCCACAGTTTCCCCTTTTTAAGGGATTGCTATGATGAATAAATCTGGAGGGCCTTTGCAGGGCCATCCTTATTTTACATGGGCAATTTCGTGAATTCCTTTTGGGGGCCATTACTCTGCGATTAATTCTTATATAGATTTCTATATTAGCAGAGGCCGCCTTTGATCTGCGCTAAACCGTCCTGCTAGCTGACGGCCGCCTTGTGATCCGGGTGTTTTGAAATATTTATTATTAATATAAGAAAAACAGGCCGGGGGTGGGAGGAGGAGGAGGCGGCCTGCGGATGCTTGAGCTCAAAGAACCCACCGCCTCGGTGTGGGGGGGGGACTTCCTCTCTCCCTCCCCCAAAATACTATGTGGTGTCTGTGTGTGCGTTTAGGCAGGGGGGAGGGGGTCTGAATAGTCCTTAACACTTTCTGCTAGGACTTCTAAGACAGAAGGAGAAATATCTGGCGAGGGAGTTGGTGTCCTTCCTCTTACTGCGCCTTTTGCTGGCTGTGCCAGATGCCCGGGATCTCGGGGTCCTGAGCGCCAGAGCTGGGCCTCCTGCCTTGCTCTCTGGCGAGCTTGATGGAGCCTTAGCGGCAGCGGCAGCAACTCCAGCGAGGCAGCCGGCGCAGCAGCTTTGTGCGTGCGAGCGAGGGCGAGAGCAGCTGCAGACAGACGGCTGCTTAGCGCGCAGGCTTGGGGTGCGGGAGGGGGGCAGCTTGGCGGGGCTGGAAGAGGCAGCCCGGACCGAGCCGTCTTCCCGGCGATGATTATATAGCTTACAGAGATGTGACCAATTTTCAATTACTCGATCCGAGAGATCCCCAGACAAAGCAGGGCCTCCCCTTCTCCCTCTCCCCCCCCCCCCACGATCGGAAATGGAAGCGCGGCCGCCTTTCGTGCGAGCGACTCCAAATCCTCGCCTGGCTTTCTCGCACGCGCGCCTGGCCCGGTTTCTTGCACCCCGAAGCCCTTTTCCTTTAGCTGAGGACGAGGCTGCGTGTGCTTGTCTTGGGGCGGGGTGGGGGTGGGGAGCTTGGAGGGAGGAGAGAGAGAGAGAAAGTACTTGGGAGAAACGGAATCCCTCCCGGCTGGCTGTATCTGTGTGTGTGTGTGTCTGTCTTGGGAGATGGTATATGTCAATGGGATGTAACAATAGGATTCAGCAGCCGAGGCCTCCGTCCTTTCCTGGCTGATGGGGGGGGGGGGCGGGCAGGTTGCTGGCTGGCTGGGGAAAGATGGCTCCGGCTCCCCTCCCGGCTGCCTTTCCGCGTCTTCCATTATTTATTTGCAAGGTGGAGGAAGCTGCACAAAGAGAGGGGGGCGGAGGGGGCGTCCGGGGTCGCGGAGGCCGGGTTGCTGCTGCTCCTGCTGCCTGGTTATTGCTACTGCTGCGCTTTTGGGGGGGGGAGAGTGGGGAGAGTTGTGGACCTTGGTACCTCCCTGGCTAACCGTGTCTCCTCTTCTTCCTCCTCCTCCTCCTCCTCTTCTTCTTCTCCTTCTCCTTGCCCCCCCCCCCCGGCGCTGCGTGGCAGATGCCTGTGGCCTCTCGGACGCGGCGCACATCGAGAGCCTGCAAGAGAAGTCTCAGTGCGCCCTGGAGGAATACGTGCGGAGCCAGTACCCCAACCAGCCCAGCCGCTTCGGCAAACTGCTCCTCCGGCTGCCTTCGCTGCGCACCGTCTCGTCGTCGGTCATCGAGCAGCTCTTCTTCGTCCGCTTGGTAGGTAAAACCCCCATCGAGACGCTCATTCGAGACATGCTGCTCTCCGGCAGCAGCTTCAACTGGCCTTACATGTCCATCCAGTGTTCATAGAGCACCTCCTGGGCTCCCCCGCTTAGAGACCCTGAGAGGAGGAGGAGGAGGAGGAAGGCCTCCAGCCCAGCCAGAGACCGGCCCAGACAACCACCACCTTGGGGGCGCACGCAGCCGGGTGGGGGGATCCGAGGAGAGAGAGGGGGGAGGAGGACCGAGAGAGAGAGATAGGAGCAGACCCCTCAGACACTGCACGAAAGACTCGCTTAGAATCAGACACCGGCTGAGAGAGGCGGTGATGATGATGATGATGATGAAGGCGAAATGGACACCTCGTATTTTGTGGAACAAACCATTGACACTGAGATGGGAAACTTTAAACAAAAACCATTTTAAAAAAAGGACCGAAGAGATTAAAACAAAAACTCCCCCCTAAAAAAAGAAGACTAGAACGGATTTCCCTGGATTTATGATGGATGGACTGAGGTGGATCTATCGTCTGTACAGCAAAACAAAACACACAGTTTAAGAGACAGAACAAACAAACAAACAAACAAACAAACAAAACCTGGAGCCGAATTGAACTGGTGGACGGGGTGAGGGAAAGAGGGAGGGGGACCCAAAGGCGAAACACTTTCCACGAACATTGTTCTTCATTTTGTAAGATATTAGTCTTTATTTTCACTTTTTTTGTAAAATTTAAAACATCGTATGCGCATAAAGGAGGCGAGAGGGGAGGGGGAAAAACACCACAAGAAACAAACAAGAATTAGGGGAGGGGAAAAAATAACATTTTCCAAATAATTATTAAAAAAACAACAAGGAATTGTTCTGTGTGTATGTATCTATATCTGTTTTGTATTTCTTTCTGGTTCCAAACCAGGCTTCCTGTGATTCTATACTAATAATTTTTTATATAACCCTTTGCTTCTTATATTGAGTGCGATATATGTTGTCGAAGCTGTTCTTCAAGAATTAAAATTGAAGTGAGAATTTAAACAAAAATAAAAGAATTTAGAAAAAAAATAATTACAAAGGCAACCCAAGCGCAACATCCAACACAGATTCCCACGCCAATCCATGAGTTCTTGTTCCTTCAAGCAGACCTAAAGTTTGGGTTTGCGGGTGGTGGGTTTCTTTCCCGCCAGCCCCCCAAGGCTTTGTGCCTTATGTAAGAGGTCCAAGGTGTGGGGTCCTTGTTCCAAAACAAATAAATACAGTGGTCATGCTGCTGGTAAGGTGCACACACCTCTCAGTATTCCCAAGCTGCCTGGTTTTAATGCGATTCTGGTGACTGATGCTGACGAAATGGAGGTGGGGGGACAGTTAAGAGGAATTCCCTTAGGTTGCAACCCGACGTTCATTTAACTGGGGAGTCCCATTAAACTTCTGCGTGAGCCTACTGGCGTTCTATGAGAATAATCCGGAATAGAAAACAGGGCCAGCCCTACCACTAGATAGAGTAAGTAGGGTGACTCAGGCAGCTGGTTCTGAGGTGCCTTGAAAGGACAGTGAATAGTTGTTGTTGTTTTTAATTTATTAGTATAATATTTTTGCTCCCAGCGAGAGGCGTTTGTGCTAGTTGGCTTTTTGTTTTTCTCGTTGGGTTTGCACCTTGGATTACAGTAATTGAGAGGAGATTCATTTGCTGTTCTGCCTGTAATGCCTAATAAAGGTAAGGCGAAGTGAACTATTCTGCCTCGGGTGGCGAAATGTCTTTGGCCTGTCCTGAAAGTAAATTTCCACTCCTCTGGAACACTGTGTTGTCACGTCTGGACTGAAGCTCTTATTTCCCTTCCCCACCCTTTACCCTTTGTAAAGGTCTCTGTGTCAGGTGCGGGCAATTTCCTCCTGGTGCAGGTCTTTCCTCCGGGCTGGTGAGTTTCCCCTGAGTTCTAAAGCCACCCTCAGAGAGAGGGAGGTGCATATGTCTGGTCGTGTGTACTGATCCAAGGACACGCGTGCGCCCCTATTCCCGTGGGCTCATGGAATCCTAAAGCTGTTAGTCTCCTTCAAATGACTGTCGGAGCAGCTTTCCAAAAACACCCCCCCACACACACACACATCCCCCCCAACGTACCATTCGTTCTCCGAGTGGAGCCCCTTTTGAAGGTAAAGATTTTCCCAGAGCTTGGAGCTGGTCGCTGCAGATCTCTGTAACAGCTTTCAGTGCATTAATGTTTTATAGGATCTGAGACGGAGCTGTAAGAACACACACTGCCAAGGGAGCTCTTTCTTAACGTATTAATAAAGCCGGATCTTTAAAAATAACATTCGTGTGTGTCTCCCCCCCCCTTCGCCCCCCGCCTCACATTCTCCAGTTTCTCCCTCGCCCTCCAAACACATCCAGGATGAGGCAGGATTTTCAATTGGAGGAGTCACTGGCAGTGTTTTTTCTGTTAATTTGCTGTCTACACTCCCCAGATTTTTTTTTTTACTTTTTTATTTTGCATTAACAAGATCCTTCAGCCTAACCCGCTTGGGGTTTTTTAATATTCTAGACGCAGTAGATCCCTGGAGAGAGAGAGAGAGAGAGAGAGAGAGAGAGAGAGAACGCATTTTCTATATGGCGGGCACTTACAGCTGCATAATAACATTGCCAGCAGCTACAGTCTATGGACTAGTCAGTTTCAATAGGCAGGCTGTAAGAATGCACATTTTGGCTCTTAACTAGCCAGGACGAGCTCTGAAAAAAACAATGTAACTGCCAAAGCCGGAGGTATCCCTGTTTTTGCCCAGACCGGGTAGGGAAAGGTCACCTCACGGCCCTGAAGACCAGACAGCCCTTGAAGATTTAGGCCCGGATAGGATTAGGATCATTGCGAAAAGGCCGCAAGAAAGAAAGCGCTAGTATGTTATGCACCCCTGGTGAAACCCGAGTAATGCTTCGTCTTTCCCACCCCACATTCATTTTCGACCTTCTGGGGAACGATGATATTAAATAATATTTTGTAACACAATAATGCCGGGAGCGGAGAAATCCTTCCAGATCTAGACAAGGTGTAGAAAAGGAGGTTGATATTCTGGGTGCATTTTCCTTGCTGACGAGCGCAACAAAGCCTGCCCGTTTCCTTTGGGAAGGGTGTTCACTGTTGAGATGATGCTTGGTGGAGGTTTTCCGTTAGTTTGGCCAAACGATTTAACACGAATTAGGCTGTATAAAGCGCTAAAGAACTAACTGATGTTGTTGGACCCTAGCCTACATATTATGATGAATCTGTTAGTCAATCTAAGACTAAAAACCAATGCTTTCTCACATGGCGTTCTCTCCATTAGACATGTCACCCAGTCACGAATCCGTTGCCCTTCTACAGAAATGGATGCTCTGTTGGGATACGCCTTCGTCTAGAGCCTGTTTGAGACCAGAATACGATCTGTCTACCGCTTTGTCATGATTCATCTGTTCCTCTTTGCTGCAGTTACAAGACAATCAATAATAATAATAATAATAATAATAATAATAATAATAATAACAACAACAACAACAACAACAACAACTGGCTAGGTCTCTCCCTCTTTCCCTTGTCTCATATGCACACTCTCTCACACAGGCATCCTAAGCAAACCTCACTCGCTTTTTGAAAGCGTTAGGCCACAATAAGCCTCGCCTTTTGCCTACTCTCAGGGTGGCTGACCTTTTCTCCCACATCCCAGTTAAGTCTTTTCTAGTCAATCTAATTTTGGGGCTTCCTTGGCGATGGAGCTTGAGAATTGCAGAGATCCTAATGTACATAATAATTGTGAAATAATAATAATAATAATAATAATAATAATAATAATAATAATAATAAACAACTAGTTCTGCAATGTGGACATGTGGCTGCCTTGAAGTCTTCAGTCGCATTTAACGAGAACAACCCCGCAAAAGCGGAGTTGCCCTGGTGTGAGACGAGTTTAGACCTACCACTGATTTAAATGGGACTGCACATTTGGTCAGGAATGTTCATATATAAGAGCGGAATGTAGTGGCCTAAAACGATGTACTTGGAAGTGTCTTGTGTGTGGATCATCATCGCTCGCCCGGGAAGGAAAAGGGATCTGGCAAGCCAGTTCCACTCCCATCATCTGTGAGGCTTGATTTAAACGTAAGGTGTTTGTGGGTCGGCTTTCTGAAATGACTTCAGCCCAACTGGGCAGACGACAGAGCCCTGACAGTTTTTGACAAGCGAAGAGGGAATGTGTCTTAGGGCTCCACAGCGCTCTGGTTCACCTGCCAACGAATAACAGATTTGTTCCTTTTATAAGAATCTAGGAGCCACATGTGGATGTCTACCAAATTAGGTGAGAGAAGAAGGAAGGAAGGAAGGAAGGAGAGAGAGAGAGAGAGAGAGAGAGAGAGAGAGAGAGAGATATTTGTTGAGTCACGTTTAACGTCATGGAAGGGAGGGGGGAACGGTTAATAAATTTATTTCAAACGCAGCTCTCCACGTAAGGATGCTCTGGCAGAGATCGATAATACCGAGAAAGCATTTTGGTCGAAAGCTTGAGGTTGTGGGCCATTCTCCTTGGGAAAAGGCAACTTGGGTTAACTCCTTTTCGTTCTAGACATCAATAAGAACATAGATCTGAATGCTTTAATCCGAAGTCACTCTTTTTGGCATAGATCGCTCTCTTTTAAATGTGCATGCGTGCGTGATGTGCAAGTCAAAGGGTTCGTTTTTTGCAAGCAAAACGTTCTCGGGGAGAGGGAGAGCTTAATATTTCTTTGAAGTGGTTGCAAAGTGTTGTAGATTCAAGCTGCTTTTAGAACCCTCCACCAGCCAAAAAAATTTTAAAAGGCAGAGGATGGGGGTCGGACAGAAGTTTCCCCCAGGAATTACGGGTGGCGTGAGAGAGAAAAAGAGAGAGAGATCCCTTCCCCGCCTCGTGTAGCTTGAGAGAGAGAGGCAGACAAACAGAGAGAAGACAGACCTACACCAGCTCCTCCCTAGTAATGAGAAGACCTTTTGGAGCTAAAGCTTCGGCCCGAAGCAGTTTTGCCTGAAACTAGTAAGTCTCACTGATTTGTGGCGTGAGATTGCGGCGTCCCTTCCCCAGAGTGAAGTCTGAGTAAAAGAGAAGGGGCTTCTCTGCTGGTTGGGCTTCTAGACGTGGTAGGGGAGACTCAATACCTTTGGAGAAATGGATTCTGTCCCTCTTCCCCCTCCAGTTTACATAAATGGGTGTAATTAAAAAGAAAGAAAGAAAAGGCAATATCGTCCTGATGCTAGGGAAGAATTTTTTTTAAAAGAAAAATAATAATACAGTCGGTTCATATTTTCTATTGAGTTTCTAGCGGGAAAGGCGGGCAGCCAGGCAGGCAGCCAGAACCAGCCCTGATAATTCTGGCAGATTTTCAAGTTTGCCATGTGGCTACTACACCTTTCGGAACCTGACAAGTTTTTGTCTTCTTCTTCCTTTTTTTTTTTTAAACTAGTCAGTTGGTGCCTTGACGAGGCCTCCCTGCGGGGGTGGGAGGGAGGAATTGGGGAAAGATGAGGGCTCACAAGTGGAAACCAATAAAACTCTTGTTTAAAAGGGCTCGCTCAGGATCCACGCCGTTCCGGGGCTCTTTGACTGGGGGAGCCGGAGAGTTTTATTCCTAAATGAGTTAAAGAGCCATTTACCTCTGTCGTGTTCTATTCATCAAGCCGCGAGCCCTCGAACACGGCGGCTATTTGTTTGCTTACACAACCAGCTGGGCGCAATTTCACGTCTGAGATATCTATCTGAAAGCGCCTCTAATTTATTATCCTTACTTGTCAGCGAATCCATTTTCAAAGTTGGGTTGTGTGGCTTTTAAAAGAGAGAGAGAGAGAGAGAAGAAACCATTGAGGATTCTGGACTTAAAATATGCTCCCTCAGTGCCCTCCTCCCAATTCTTTTCTCCCCACCCAGCCAGCACATCACATAGAAGAGTCAGCACAAAACAGCTGGGAAGGAAGGAGAAATGTGCAGAGAAGCTGGAAGGAAGGCAAGGTGACTCTCTCTTTCTCTCCAGAACTGCCTCTCTTCCGAGCTGCGTCACGTTCTCCGCTCCCCTCTCGCCTTCCACCCACTCTGAGGCTTGGAAGTTGGCGGAAGCCCCTCCAAGGACTTCAGCCGGACTCTCAGCCTCTTTCCCCCCCGCTGCCTTCCATGGCAACCCCTTCCCGCGGAGACGGCAATCGCGAGCACTCCGAATGATCTCTGTTGAGCTCGTTGGGGATGGCTTTGCCAGTCATTCTGCCTACAACTTTGGGCTTCAAACGCGCACCTAGCGTTGCACCTTTGTCAAGGTTGCAGAAACAAGTGGAATAAAATGGGCTGGGATTCTCCAGTGGGCCATGCTGGCCAAGGGCAGCCACCTGTAGAGGGAGCCAAGGGAGATGAACGTGAATGGAGAGTAGGACTGGCAGATGAGCTGCCCTGAGGGTCCCCATCCTTTGTCTGATCATGCCGGAGCAATTCGGTGTTGGGTCCAATTTCTGGGTATGGTGAATTTCACCGGAAGGCCCCGATCTGGTTGGCTGCCATACATTTGAAAATAAGTGTTGCCCGCCTTGCTCCGAAGCACATCCTGCTAAATGCCGTGGGATCTACTCCCAAGTAAGACTGAGATGCGCTGCAGCCCTAAGGACCGACGCATCTTCTAAGAAGGGGGTGGGATGCATTTTGCCTGTGTGTGGTGGGGGGAGATGGCTGGTCTCTTCTCCCCCCACCCCAACCCCC